CAAAGGGCTGACTTCAGAAATGGTGAAGGGTCTAGGCCCGAAACGTCAGCCTTCCTGCTCCTATGATGCTGCTTGGCCTGCTGTGTTCATCCAGCTCTACACCTTGTTATCTCTGATAGCTGTTGTCACAGGTTGGTGCACTGTCAGCAAAATTAGCCCTGGTCACCCCGACAGAAACCTGCTCACCATGATTAATGACCCCTGGAGAGGATTGTGGCAACACGCCCCACTTTGAAACATGACCATGTGAGCTGGGGGTCATTGAGATGGTTGCTCCTGAGTTCGGACAATGTGACTTCACCTTCTCATTGCAGAGCCAACAGCAGCTGGTAGGTGGCAGCAAACCTCCAGAAACACCAGTGAGCCGATCAGGCAGATGCTCCATACAGACTGATCCGAATGCCTTCATCAATACAATTAACAATTTAGATCACTGTACCGTCAATATATTTTGCTCATTTATGGGATGTGGGCTATAATCAGCCAGAGAGGGCAGTCAATCACCTCACTGTGGGTATGGAGTGTAAGCCAGACCAGGTAAGAACGGCAGATTTCCCTCCCTAATGGGGTCATTAGTGAACCAGAGGGCATTTACAAGAATTGACAGCAGTATAAACATCACAAGTAGGATAGCTTTCAGTTCCAGATTTTTTTTTAAATTGAATTCAAATTTTACTTTATACACTGTTGGGATTTGAACCCACAATCCCAGAACATTAGCCTCAGGCTCTGCATTGTTAACCCTGTGATATTATCACTATGCCAACAATCGAGCACAGCTGTAGAGTCTGTCGAAGTCTCCACTTGCAATTCCCGGGTATCTTTGATGTTTCTGTCTGTACACAGCCCGGGGGCCACTCTCACTGAGGCCTGTGGGTGAGGAGAGACACTGGGGGCAGGAGCAGTAAGCAGGTACTCACCCATGGGGTTTCAGAGGCTGCGTGGACAGGAGTGGGGGGCTACAGCAAGTCTGAGAGGGGATTCCTGCAAATTCAGGAGGGTTAGAGACTACCTGACCTTCGAGAGGGAGCTGAGATACTGTTTTGTGCTCTGCTTCATGGAAACTTGGCTTCCCCCTGCCTTTCCTGACTGCAGGCTACAAGCTGATGGGCTCTCCATACATCCCATCCTCGGGTAAAGCGAAGGGCGGTGGGCTATGCTTCCTAATCAACACTTCCTGGTGCTCGGACATAGTGACCCTGGCAAGCCCACGCTCCCCGGACCTAGAATACCAAACAATAAAATGTTGTCCATACTCCCTACCACGAGAGATCACCTTCACCATCCTGATAGCAGTTGACATACTACCCCACGCAGATGTGAAGAATGGCCTACACAAGATTTACACTGCCACAAACACTCTAGAGATGGAATTCCCCAAGGCCCTACTCATCGTGACCGGCGACTTCAACCAACTCAAGAAGGCGCTGTCAAAGTACTACCAACACATCACCTGCCCCCACCAGAGGAACCGAACATCCTGGACCACTGCTACACAGCCATCAAATATGCCTACCGCTCCATCCCCTGCCCACACATTGGAAAATCCGGTCACAGCACTGTGTTCCTCCTCCTTACAAGCTTACAAGCAGGAGTCTAGAACAGGAGGACCCTTCACTCAAAGGAAGTACAATGCTGGTCCGAGACAGTGGAACAGTGTCTCTAGGATTGCTTGGAATCAGTGGCCTGGACCATGCTCACATACTCAGTGGAAAACCTAGACAGGTACATCACCACTGTCATGGAGTTCATTAGCAAACGTGTGGAGGGCTGTGTATCAAAGAAGTCAATCCCGATGATCCCCAACTGTAAACCTTGGATGAACCAGGAAATCCACCCTCTACTTAAGACCAGGCATGCAGCTTTCAAGTCGGGTGACCCAGGCAAATACAGAGAATCCAGATATGACCTCTGCAAAGCCATCACAGATGCCAAGGGGCAGTACTGGACCAGGTTAGAGGCCCAAACCAACCATACAGACCCTCACCGCCAATGGCACGGCTTAAACAACATTACGGGATACAAAATGGAGCACAGCAAGATAGCAGACAATGACACATCCCTCCCTGACGTGCTCAATGCTTTCTATGCTCAGTTTGAGCAGAATACCACCGGCGTGGCGATGCCTGCCCCGACAGCCCCGGGCACACCTTTTCCCTCGTTCACCACTGCTGACATTAGATTGGTTTTCCTGGGAGCTAACCCAAGGAAAGCAATGGGCCCAGACAGAGACCCCAGCCATGCACTAAGGTCATGTGCAGACCAGCTGGTGAAGGTATTCACCGTCATCTTCAACCTCTCCCTCCTACAAGCCGAAATCCCCACCTGCGTCAAGAAGACCACCATCACTCAGTACCCAAGAAAGCACGTGCAAGTGTGCCTTCATGACTACCCAGTGGCTCTGACTTCAAAAACCATGCAGTGCTTCGAGAGGCTGGTCATGGCCCACATCAACTCCAATCGCCTGCCTTGATCCCTTACAATGTAGAAACAAGTCCCGCTTGAACACAAGCACCAGCAGGTTCAGGAACATCTTCTTTATCAGACTGATGAATGGACTCTCTAAATTCAAATAATGCTGATCTTTGCTAATGTTGATCTTGGCTACCACGCACCCTGTGTGACATACCCTGTATGCCTCTGTCTAAGTTCTTTTTCTCACCCTATATTCTGTACGTCCTTGCTTACTATCATCTGCCTGTACTACTCGTAAACAAAGCTTTTCACTGCACTCAGGTACATCAATCAAATCAAATCGAATCGAATCAAATATCTGCTGGCTTGTACAGGGAACAAGGACAGGGAAGAGATGTTTCAGAGTGAGCTGGGATTGGTGGGTTGGGGAGAGGGATCTCTGAGGGAGCAGGGGTTGGTGGGTTGGGGAGAGGGATCTCTGAGGGAGCAGGGATTGGTGGGTTGGGGAGAGGGATCTCTGAGGGATTGGTGATTTGGGGAGAACGGTCTCAGAGTGAACAGGGATTGGTGGGTTGGAGAGAGGGATCTCTGAGGGATTGGTGGGTTGGGGAGAGGGATCTCTGAGGGATTGGTGGGTTGGGGAGAGGGGTCACAGAGGGAGCAGGGATTGTTGGTTTGGAGAAAGTGTCTCAGAAAGAGCAGGACTCAAGGGTTGGGGGAGAGGGGTCTCTGAGTTGGCAGGGATTGGTGGATTTGGGTGTGGGGTCTCAGTGAAAACAGGGATTGGTGGTTTGGGCAGAGGGGTCTCAGAGTGAGCAGTGATTGGTGGGTTTGGGAGAGGGATCTCTGAGGGATTGGTGGGGTGGGGAGAGGGGTCTTAGAGTGAGCAGGGGTTGGTGGGTTGGGGAGAGGGGTCTTAGAGTGAGCAGGGATTGGTGGGTTGATGAGAAGGGTCTCATAGGGAGCAGGGATTGGTGGGGTGGGACAGGCCAAATGGATTCTTAAACATTTACAGGATGTATGAGAGAAGCAGTCATTAAGGTCTAAAGCCATGCTTCCAACTTTGAGGTCAGAGGCTAAATAGGCAGTGCTCCTTTAACATTGGGCTTCCATTTCCAAAAATCACTACTTTAAGTAAAATAACTTCAAGCAAACCATGAGTTCCCAAATGAATCAATGCTAAGTCTAGTGTTAGATTCTTTGAAACATTCCTTTGCCCATAAGTACCACTGTAAATCTCATGGGTAGTGCTGGGCATTTTAAGCTGAAATAACTTGCAATGTAAAATAAAAGTCTGAATATAACAGCAATACAGTCTGAGTTGTAAATACCTTTTTATTTTTCTATGTTTTTGATTATAGACCCAAAGGGGAAAAGGAATACTTTAAAAAACAAGGATTGTCTGCACGTTTCAAAAGGGAATTAACATGCACCCATTGTAAGTGTTATTTACAATGGCATTTCCTTAAGTATTTGGGGAAATCTATTCACAGAATAGCTGGAACCAAAGGGTGTGTACAAATGTGAGGGAGGTTACTAAAGATGAGCTGGAGCCAGGGTGCGGGGTGTGGGGGAGAAATTGTGTGTGGATGGAGATATGACCAGCAACAAGTAGCTGACTGGTTTGTACAATGGTAGCCGTTGTCGAAGACAAGGCCTTCTGCCTGGTAACAGCTATGCGATTGGTTCACAGATAGCTGAACAGCCTGTGGGTGTGCACTCTTCAGTTAGGAGCCTTCAGAAGCCCCAAAAACAAAGGGGCTGTCCTTTCCCTTAAAGTTAAAAAACACCTCAAGCGTGAAGAAAGCCAGTTTATTTCCCCTCCTCAGTTAGCATGAGCTGTGATTCTTAACAAATAAGTCAGAGACTGTATAATTATTGAACCAGTCACCCTGTGCCTCCTGCAAATAAATGAGGGGAACCGGAGAAGGAAGATTGTGGAACAGCAATCCCCCACTATCAACAACCTAGGGCTTGCCATTGACCAGAAACAGAATTTGCCTTGCTGTGTAAATATAGTGACCATTAGACCAGGTTGGAGGCTAGGAACCCTGCAGCAAGTAACTCACCTCCTGACTCCTCAAAGCCTGCCCGCCATCTACAAGGCACAAGTCAGGAGTGTGATGGAATACTCCCCACTTGCCTGGATGGGTGCAGCTCCAACAACACTCAAGAAGCTCGATACCATCCAGGACAAAGCAGCCCGCTTGATTGGCACCACATCCACAAGCATCCACTCCCTCCCCCACTGATGCTCAGTAGCGGCAGTATGTTCTAGCTACAAGATGCCGTGCAGAAATTCACCAAAGATCCTTAGACAGCACCTCCCAAACCCATGGCCACTTCCAACTAGGATAAGGGCAGCAGATACATGGTAACACCACCCCCTGCAAATTCTGCTCCAAGCCACTCACCGTCCTGGAATATTGGAAATGTATTGCCATCCCTTCATTGTCGCTGGGTCAAAATACTGGAATTCTCTCCCTGATGGCATGCTGGATCTACCTACAGCAGGAGGACTGCAGAGGTTCAAGAAAGCAGCTCACCACCACCTTCTCAAGGGCAACTAGGGATGGGCAAGAAATGCTGGCCGAGCCAGTGACACTCATGTCCCATTACCGTGGCTCAGTGGTCAGCACTGCTGCCTCACAGCTCTAAGGACTCAGGTTCGAATGCACCCTCATGTGACTGTCTGTGTGGAGTTTCCACATTCTCCCTGTGTCTGTGTGGGTTTCCTCCCACAGTCCAAAGACGTGCAGGTTAGGGTGGATTGGCCATGGGAAATTGCCCTGTAGTGTCCAGGGACGTGCAGGCTGGGTGGGTTAGCCACGGTAAATTCAGGGATAGGGCAAGTGGGATGGGTCTGGATGGGATGTTCTTTGGAGGGTCGGTGTAGATTTGATGGGCTGAATGGCCTGCTTCCACACTGTAGGGATTCTATGAGTGAATGTAAAACAGTCTTGACAAGTCGAAAGAATCATCTCAGTGAAGTCTGTGCAAAGGGAACATTGAACTGCCTTTCCAGTGTTAACATCTACCCATGACACATTTTATTTTGTGTCTGTTTGAATGTGTGTATAGAGGAGATTGTATAAGGGGGAGTCAATTTTACATGTGGCAGTTCTATCAATGGTTGTTAATTATTTATCTGTACCTAGAATCGATTTATCTGTAATAAATAGTAATTCCTGTTGAATACAGAAATGTACATACTTTTTGTCAGCCTGGGTTTGATAATCAGGGAGATTGGGGAATTTTGCACATGTTTGCAAACTCTTTAAGTGTTGTGATGACTCCAGGAATAATAGGACTTGTTTTCCAGCACACTATCCCAGTGAGGTGTAACAGAATTCAAACGTATACATTCAGGGTTGCCGTCTCTTTTATCGTTGACTTCTGTAAATGTTAATAATCTGACATTTTGCAGCATTCTAATTTGTAACTGGTGGGTGGCTTGTTGGCTTTGACAGATTGACCCTCAATCCGATTGGGCCTGGGAGGTGGCAATTACATTATTTCTGACCTTTTCTCACATGCTGCTTCCCGGCAGTGACCAGCTTTAGGTTATCAGAGCGGTACATTGCCTCACTGGTTAGCACTGCTGCCTCACAGCAACAGGGACATGGGTTCGATTCCGCCCTCGGGTGACTGTCTGTGTGGAGTTTGCACATTCTCCCCGTGTCTGCGTGGGTCTCTTCCAGGTGCTCTGCTTTCCTCCCACAGTCCAAAGATATGCAGAGTTAGGTAGATTGGCCAGGCTAAATTGTCTCATAGTGTGCAGGGATGTGCAGGCTGGATGGGTTAGCCATGGGAAATGCAGGGCTATGGAGATCGGGTAGGTCTGAGCGGGATGCTCTTTGGAGGGTTGGTGTGGACTCGATGGGCCGAATGGCCCATGTCCATACTGTAGGGATTCTGATTCTATTACTCATATTCCACACTGACCCACAGAACATCCTACCCAGACCCATCCTCCTATAACCCACCTAAGCTACACATCCCTGAACACTATGGATAATTTAGCATGGCCAATCCACCCTAGCCTGCACATCTTTGGACTGTGGGAGGAAACCCATGCAGACACAGGGAGAATGTGCAAACTCCACACAGACAGTTGTCCGAGAGAGGTCTGCAGGTGAACTCTGTTTTTATACCTTTTAGATGGTTTTTCTGGAACTTTCTGTAGTTCTGACCAATCAGGGATATACACTTAATAGTTTGAAACAAGAATCAATCATTTAGCTGGCATGCTACTGTTTAGTTTCTTTGTGAAGCAGGACTCGGTGCCTTTCTGTCTGGGCTGCCTTTTGTTTAGTAGTGGATAAGTTGTTGGGGGTGTGTGCAGACTAACTGTTGCCTTTTACATTATGCTAATATCATTAGCGCCTGGCTGCTGTGTTTGCACATTGTCTGGTGTGTGGGTTTTGTGATTTCAAAGTTTCACTTCGCCAATGTACCCAGCATCCCTTGCTGTTTGGCCAAGTTGGCTATCTGTGTTTTAGCAGCCAAGAGGTTGCTACACACCTTATCCATGTTCCTCATGATTTTCTAAACATCTATAAGCCTCTGACACTCAAAGGAAAATTGCCCCAGCCTATCCAGCCTCTCCATACAACTCAAACCTTCCAACCCTGGCAATATCCTAAGATTAAGAGTAGGCTAGATGCAAAACTCTTCCATGGCTGCCCCCAATCTCAAACCCATTGTGAGGTTCCTCCAAACAGGATTCGAAGTGTATTAATGCTGGGCAAGAAGGGTCTAGGCCCAAAACGTCAGCCTTCCTGCTCCTCTGGTGCTGCTTGGTCCGCTGTGTTCATCCAGCTCTACACCTTGTTATCTCAGATTCTCCAGCATCTGCAGTTCCTCTCCAACACTGTGCTGGACTTGTTTTCCTCAGTTGCATCATAGACCATCAATGTTCAGGCGACCAACTCTTTGAAAGGTCCACGCAGGATGCCCCCATGCACTGCCCCCAGCCACAATTGTCCTGTGAGTGATTCAAACTGCAACAATCTCAACCTAAAGTCCATTTCATGGGCCCCCCTCCAAATGAGGGATCCATTATCAAACTGCTGAGCCAGTTTTGACTGATTTGAGCAGAGAACCAATTCATGAACAGGATCTTAATTCATAGCTTGTTATATGTAATGAAAAGACAGCGGATGGCGAAGGATGGATACTGTTGCATGTTGGGTTTTTTATATTTTGGCCCATGTGTACCGCAATGATTGGGTTGTTGTTGAGACTGATACCTTAGAAGTTATTAACAAGCCCTAACTACTTACATGGCTACAATGTCAAGACTTAATTATGTAATCTACATTTTCTTACTACTGTTGATACTGTATATTAGACAAGAGACAGCTGACTTATGAACACAGACATGGCAGAGGGAGTGTGATTGAAACCAATATAGATTCCTACAGGAAAGTCACAGGTCATAGGTCACATAACTGACTGAAAGTTTCAGGCCTTTGTCTGGTCTGAATCTCTGCCATAATGCAAGCAATCTTATTCTTATCATGTTCAAGATGTCTGATCTTTTCGGTCTGTTCGTCTTTGAGACAACCACAGGACCACAATCATGGAAAGGGCCAGAGAAATCCAAGTACTTTATTATTCAGATCTGTCCTCCAGGTTAGCTGATGTCAGGGTTATTTACATTAATTTACAGCAATTTTTTAAAAATATGATTCATTTCTGGGATGTAGAATCATAGAATCCCTATGGTGTAGGAACTGGCTATTCGACCCATTGAGTCCACACCAAAACAGCATCAGGAATGCCAGCATTGTTGGAATGCCAACAACATCAGAAGATTCTGCTAAGCAAGAGAGACAGTTTACTTCTGGGGACAGAGTTTAGTGTAGGAATCATGGGAATAACCCTGCATGGGTAAGAGGCATGGTTGACATGAGGTTGGATTCAGTGATGCACAAAGTTCAGGTTGATGCGAAAGTCCTGGACAAGCACGTAGACCATGTAAGAGCTACAAACTCACAAATAATGCGGAAGCAAACCTTGCCCAGCTCCTCAACTACCTTTCCAACAGTTCCGGAACCCTTGGTATCTCTCTCTCCGTCAAACGTAGAAGCTACCTTGGAATCTGAGGTGGACACAGCAGATGTTGCTGCCTCGATGCCTTTGCGGCCTGAAGAGGATCACAAATTTCTTCCGAGATGCTCTGGACCCAAGAGGTGAGCTACCGTACATTACACGCTGCCTGTATCAGAGGCAGAGTCTGAGGAACCTGACCCAGGGCTAAAACATCCCCCAGAGGAGGAGCTACAAAAAAAGAGGAACCAGCCTCTGTCCTTGGACTCAGAAGGGGAAAGATGTAGTGATTGTGATGAGGTCAGCCAGGTGGACCTCATAGAATATGAGTTCCCTGATTGGACCAGATTACCAGCCCAAAACAGGGAGCCCTGGCTGACAGATATAAACAGGAGGGTCAGAGGTTCTGTTCACTCTGAGAGCTGGCTCTGAGGGAGCTGGATGAGAGTCAAGGCCTCTCCATGTGTAAATAAAAAGTGACTTGATGATGGGATACTGGCGTCTGTGGAGTTATTTCAATGGTGTTCCCATGTTCTGCTGCCATTGTCTTTCTAGATGGAAGTGTTGTGGGTTTGGAAGGTGCTATCTAAGGATCTTTGGTGAATTGTTGCGGTGCATTTTGTAGATAGTACACGCTGCTGTTACTGAGCATTGGTGATGGAGGGGGTGGATGTTGAATCTGGTGTAGAGAATGGCATTGATGTGGGTTACTTTGTTTGAGATGCTGTTGAACTTCTCAAGTGTTGTTGGAGCTGGACCCATCCAGGAAAGTGGGGAATATTCCATCACTCTCCTGACTTCTGCATTGCAGATGGTGGACAGGCTTTGGGGAGTCAGGAGGTGAGTTATAAATTGCCTAACGCTTGCGTGGAGCAAATGTTATTTGTCACTTTTCCACCCAACACTGACAGTGGTCACAGTCGTATTGTATTTGAGCATGGACTGCTTCATTACCTGAGTCAGATGTCACATGACACTAGGTTACAGTCCAATAGGAAATAACCCTGTTGGACTATAAGCTGGTGTCATGTGACTTCTGATTTTATCCCCCCAGTCCAACACCGGCATCTCCATTTCATCAGTATCTGTGGAGTCGTGAACAGTACTGAACATTATGCAATCATTGGTGAACATCCCCATGTCTGACCTTATGATAGAGGAACTACCCTAAGGAACTCCTGCACAGATATTCTGGAACTGCGATGATTCGCCTCCAACAACATGACCATCTTCCTATCGTCAGGTATGATTCCAACCAGTGGAGAGTTTGCCCCTCGATACCCATTGAATCCATTTTACTCCGACTCTTTGATGTCACACTCAGTGAAATATGGCCTTGATGTTAAGGAAAGCTATTCTCTCTTTGCCTCTTGAGGTCAGCTCTTGTGCCCAAACTGGGACCAAGGCTGTAATAAGGTGGGGGCTAGGGTCACCCTGGCAGAACCCAACCTGAGTGCCAATGAGCAGGGTGTTGCTGAATGTTTAATGCTTGATAGAACTGTCAATGATACTTTCCAACGGTTTAGTGATGACCAAGAATAGACTGATGGGGCGGTAATTGGCCGGGTTGGATTTGCCCTGCTTTTTATGTACAGGACATACTTGGGCAATTTTCCACATTGTCGGATAGATACCAGTGTTGTAACTGTACTGGAACAGCTTGTCTAGGGGAGTGGCATGTTTTGGAGCACAAGTCTTCCGTACTATTGCCAGAATGTTGTCAGGGCCGATAGCCTTTGCAGTATCCAGTGCCTCCAACGGTTCCTTGATGTCACGTGGAGTGAATCAAATTGGCTGAAGACTGGTGCCTGTAATGCTGGGGACCACTGGAGGAGGCTGAGATGGATCATCCACTTGGCACTTCTGGCTGAAGATTGCTGCGAATGCTTCAGCCTTATCTTTTGCACTGATGTGCTGGGATCTTCCATCATTGAGGATGGAGTCATTTAATTGTCTACTGTCATTCCCAACTGTCACCGCTATGGCTGAAAAATCTTTCTTAAAGTCACAAATGTAACCTTATCAAAGATTTAATAAGGTTCCAATAGATCCTGCTTCTTCCTGTCCTTACAAATGCTATCTGACCTTGTCCCCATGTCAAGTAACACCCCTTTCAGTACAGAATTCCTTTCAGTGCTTCTTCTGAGTACTGTGCAGCAACAAGCCACCTTCATAACCATTCCCACTGGGATTGAAGCAGGAATTCACCAGAGGAGCCATGGGTTCTCAGCCACGTTGGATCACAATGAGGCCAATACATCACCTTCAAACCACCAAGAGCTGGGAACACTCCAGAGGGCACCATGCATCAAGAAATGCCCCTGCCACCTCGGGTGAACCATGGTGACAAATCAATGGGCTTCTGCCAGTGTCAAAACAGGGAGAAAAAGAGACAGCAAATGACAGGAAAACATCAAATTCCTGTGTCTGCTGTATCCTTCTTAGCATTTTAATATATCCTCAGATAATCTCTTAACGATCTCCGTGTTTAAATTGTAACTCCACTGCTCATCTCATCATCCAATGCTAATCTGCCACAAACATGCGGATTATTCTTGTCCCATTCTAAAGAGACACTAAAGTACGTTTCTGATGAAAAGCTTAACCAGAATTCTTTGATCCCAGATCAGATTAATTTTTTTTGAAGCTTCATTTTATTGATGTGGAAATATGATTTGGTGAAAGCTTGGCAATTGAGTCTCTATTTGTCTGTGTATGTCTATATGGACATAGACATAAAACCCCACAGTGTGGAAACAGGCCATTTGGCCCAAAAAGTTCACACTGACCTCTGAAGAGCATCCCACCAAACCTGCATTTCCCATAGCTAATGCACTTAACCTACACATCCCAAAATGTTATGGGTAATTTAGCATGGCCAATCCACCTAATTTACACCTAATCTTTGGACTGTGGGAAGAAACTGGAGTACCTGGTGAAAACCCATGCAGAATGTGCAAAATCCATATAGACAGTTGACCAAGGCTGGAATCAAAGCCAGGTCCCTGGTGCTGTGAGGCAGCAGTGCTAACTGCTGAGCCACCATGTCACCCCATATGTATGCATGTGTATATGTGTGTGTGTGCATGCGTGTGCATGTGCATGTTCTGATCAGTTGGTTTGAACCTCATTTTGCTGAGCTTTTGTAAAAATATGGACTGCCATTGCTGCTTCTAGCTGTGTCTCAATTGTAACACTCTTGCTTAAAGTAGGAAAGTCAATAGTTCAAATCCCACCCCAAACGTTTAGGAATATAAGAATAAGAGGAGGCCATTCAGCCCATCGGGCCTGTGCCATGTTTCAAAGACATTGTTATCTGTGACTAAACTCCAATTATTTGAGCCCTGAATTGATGCTGACACACTGAAGGTATGCTGTATGTCAGAGTACTCTCTTTCCAATAAGATGTTAAACCAGGACTCTGCTACCACGCTGCAGCAAATGAAAACAATTCCATTGCCAAAACTCCCTGAAAATATTCTGTTTCTCACTCACCAACATTAAAACAAAAAGATCCAGACCCTCCAATGAGAATTATATAAACTGTCACCCAATCCTTATCGGAAAAATCAATGTCCTTCCTCTGAAATTTTCTGAACAATCCTCAGATGGAAGATCTTTCAAACAGACCCTGGGCAGGAGTCCTCACAGGGAATCCAGGAGGAAAACCCATCCCTTTCACAGCACGAGTGACTGTATTGCAGTAGGTAAGGTTGAAATGTTCCAGGACATCCCATTGCATTGGAGTCAATGTGTGAATGACTGGGTGAAACTGTAATTGTGCATATGTGTAAGAGATTATGTTAGGTGACTAAATGGATCAGGTGGCAGTCAAGGATGGATGAAACTTGGGAGATTCACACCTGTGTAGGGGACAGTGTCGGGTGAGTGAGGGTAAGGTCAGTCAGTGTGTGAGGGTCAGTGTGACATTTTCACTACTCTCATACACACTGACCCCACACACTCACTGACCCCACACTCACTGACCCCACACAC